AAAACATTGGGAAAAGGTAGACGTATTTATATTTTCTTGGTGTGTGTTGATATAAATTTCACCTTGATGAGAGTTGCTGCTATAAAAACTCCAGGTGAAATTTTGGTTCTCACCTGTATAGAGTTGCTGGTGCTGGTAAAACTGGCCAGGTTTTTACAAAAGTTAGGCCTAACTCGGGTAGACGTCAATATACAAACACGGATTTCTGATACTAGTTCTAGCAGTGAGTTAAATTGTTGATGTAGTGTGGTCAGGGGTATAGGTTGTAGTACTGGGTATAGTCTATTTAAGGACCAGGGTATAGAGCTGGGAGAGCTCAGGGAAGGGGTTGGGGTGTGGTGTGTGGTTTCATTTTAATAATCGTTGAGTGAAATCACATTATTTTACCACAAAGACAAAAAGCGGCTGTGATTTATTTTTAACTTCAGAATCGTGTGACGTAACATTGTGATACTCTCTGACCCCTCTACGCCTCGACATCGTCACTAAATACAAATGCATTCCTAACACACACCCCCCCCCCCCACCCCCACCCCCACCCCCTTTCCATCGGATGTGATTGGACGAACCTTTACAACTTTTGATTAATTTATAGCAATTAAATTATATCGCTCTGTTTGTCCTTTCCATAGTTATAACATGTGTTATTGATTTATTTTGTTTATTAATTTTGTACCAATTTAAATCATAATTCGTGAAAATAATTTTATAACCTACGCAGTTTCTGTATGCGAAGAACTGCAACTCTTGCAAATCAGCAGAGAACTGTTTATTCACGGTTACCTCCCTTATAACGTCGTCACGAGTTGCGAGCGTCCCGGCACGAACAGGTGGCGCCTCAATCAGCTGATGTTGTTTGGGCTGCGTGTTCACGTTTTTTCTCTCACACCAGACGAGACGGCACGTGATGACGTGGCGTGCGGTGACAAGACGTCACGAGTCACGAATGACTGACGTGTTAATGTTGTCATTAGTATCTGTCAGGACAAATCACTAAGCTGACATATTGCTGTGTGTGTTGGATGTGTTATGTTGTGTTATGTTGTGGACTTTTTCTCCGGGGGGGGGGGGGGGGGGGGGTGTTACGGATTAGTTGATATTTTCGGGGGGCGGACAAAAATTTCCGGGGGGCGGACGGCGGACACTGTTAAAAGTATATATTTTCTATATAAAATATAAATTACATTTCGTTTTGGAGGGGGGGGTAGACTCTCATCGAAGAGATGCCTGGAAGAAACACTGCCCCCCCCCCCCCCACCCAAGGGATGCCTGGAAAAAAAACCTCTGCTCCCCATGACCCCACTAAAAGAAATATTATTTATTTAGCTGTTCCCAAATCCTATTTTAACCCACATTGACCTTAAGTCAACGCGGATGTAATACTGTAAACGATGACGTCAATTTTGCATCAATCCGGAAGTGTTTCAGTAGACGATGACGTCAGTCTTGCATCATTTGAAACAAAAGACACGGATCGCAGTAGTTGACACATACTAGCCTTAGTCCAACGTCGTCAGGGCGAATTCGATTCCAGGATAATTTTGCTGGTATCGATGTACTAACCTTGGCCCTAACCCGCACCTCACTGTCCGTGATCCAAAACCGATCCTAATCTTGATGTTATCTCTTACTCTCCTTTTATTCCAATTCTAACCTTCTAGCAGCTGTACCGATGGTATAAAAAAGGTCCGGATACGATACTGCAGGATATTACACAACCACACCAATGTGTTGACCTACTTCTTTGAAAGATATAGAAACTTACACTCCACACCACAACCACACACACCACCACCACACGACCACACCTCTACCACCACTACATATAAGTCAGTATATTTGACTACGGCTAAAGTATATTTAACAACAGTAAAGTACCCTCCCTCCCCATGACCAACAACAGTAGCACACTGACCCCCCCCCCCCCCCCCCTTCCTCAGACATGCAATAAAAAACTTATCCCCATCAACAAAGCGGATATATGTTTGTCTGAATGTACTTGGGAAATCTCGCTGCACCTCTTCCCCCCCCCCCCCTCCTGCTCATTGCTGTAGATGTCGACCACTTACAGCACTAATTAACATGGCTCACCATAATGGTTCGCCAACTCTCGTCAAATATCGCATTACGAGAAATCGTTTTATCTCAGCATTGTGTGTTAAGGCTGGACAGTCTTATGTACATATACATACCTTTGTATGTATATACACACACACACACATATATATATATATATATGTATATATATATATATATATATATATATATATATATATATATATATATATATATACATATATATATATATATATATATATATACAACACTTGTACATTTCGACCCCCATGTGGTCTTGACCGAATTGTTCTAGCCTTACAACTGACATGTGGGTCACCATTTCCCCTCTCCACACGCACACACACAATAACACACTCACACACTTATATACATTCATATACACAAACACACTACTTACATCAGGGTTAGGGTTTGTTTTTCAAGTCTAAGTTAATGGTTAGCTTTAAAATTTCTCAGATCTACTGTAATCACTCTATTTTGGTGTTAGCAAGGGTTAGGTTGACCGTCTATAGAATTCCCGTGGGTACATATGTTAAACAGATGAGGGCCGGTCTAAGAGAAACTGTTCTGACAAATGAGACAAGTGTTATGACATTCTGTCAGGTGCCGCCATGATGTGTCACCACGTCGTGACACTGCCAACAGATTACCAACACAACAGCTGGTATTGTTTGTCTTCCAGCCGTGCTAGACCAACACGAACCCACTCTTTAACCAGACTTGCGTGTAGCCGACTGCTGCGTGGTCCACGCACGGAAAATGGCGTCCGTCCATGGTACAGTTTGTGTTGGTAGTCAGAAGTGGTAGCACGCCTAGGAGATAAACAAACAAGTTTTGTGTCTTCAGCGCTGATTCTGGTCTCTGGGAGATAAACAATTGTTGTGCTGATTCTGGTCGTTTGTATTGCAGGTCTTCGTGTTCTCCTGGATCTAACAGCGGACTTCGGTGGAGTTTAGTGACGTTACAAGCGTGCTACGACAAGTCAGTGACGTCCCCTGTGACGTCATATTGTTGTTTCGGACATATCCGGCTACTTCGGGGTAGCCTTGATAAGTTTAGGGATACTAAGGCTACATGAGTTTAATGTAACGTATGTAGAAGCTAGCCTACCCAAAGTATCATCGGATCAAGGGGAAGCTACCTCACGAAGATCAGCAGCCAGCCTCCTTGTCAACACCTCTAGCACCCTATGGTTTGACGTTGCCTAGCAACCAGCGGCCATCACACGTTTGGAACTATGGACTCCAACCCGTTTCCCCCCCTCCCCACGGGAGATGTACATGTATCAGCCGAGCTCAGTCATGAATGGACACGGCACGGTGAGTAGATGGTAGTTAGTGGATGGTAGTGAGTGGATGGTAGTTAGTGGATGGTAGTTAGTGGATGGTAGTTGGTGGATGGTAGTTAGTGGATGGTAGTTATTGGATGGTAGTTAGTGGATGGTAGTTAGTGGATGGTAGTTAGTGGATGGTAGTTGGTGGATGGTAGTTAGTGGATGGTAGTTAGTGAATGGTAGTAGTTAGTGGATGGTAGTTAGTGGATGGTAGTAGTTAGTGGATGGTAGTTAGTGGATGGTAGTAGTTAGTGGATGGTAGTAGTGGATGGTAGCTAGTGGATGGTAGTTACTGGACGGTAGTTAGGGGATGGTAGTTAGTGAATGGTAGTTAGTGGATGGTATAAAGTGTGTGGATACTAGTGGGTAATGACTGGATGATATATAGTTTGTATATAGGCCTATAGTATGTATATATAGATCTAGTATGTATATATAGTTGTATATATAGTGTGTATACATAGTATGTATATATAGTGTGTATATATAGTATGTAGATCTAGATGGTACTGAACACCACCAGTTGACGTCTGACTATTAGAATACCATCAATGTCACTACACCATCAGTGGTGTCTGTCACTACACCATTAGAGGTGTCTGTCACTACATCAGTGGTGTCTGTCACTACACCATCAGTGGTGTCTGTCACTACACCATCAGTGGTGTATGACCCGTGGTCTTCCACTTTAAGGTACCCCAGCGGTGGGTGAAACAGGATGGGTGTTTTAGCATACATTTACCATGTATCTGCCACTCCTGATGGTGTTACCTTAGACACCATTATGGTGTTACCCTATAAATCTCATGGTGTTACCCTATATATCTCATGGTGTTACCCTATATATCTCATGGTGTTATCTATATATATCATGGTGTTATTTATATATCTCATGGTGTTACCCTATAAATCTCATGGTGTTACCCTATATATCTCATGGTGTTACCCTATATATCTCATGGTGTTCCCCTATAAATTTCATGGTGTCCTTGAACACAATGAACTGGTATCCACTGTACTGGCCAATACTGTACCCAATCTGTTGATAAAGCCCGCTCTTGTTCTTATCGATTAGCCATACCCCTGTACTCGTATAGTTGGTACTCACCAATTGGTGGTAGTCACTATAGTCAGTACCAGCTTGTATTGGGATAGCTTATATCATCTTTAACACGTATCATTATATCCTGCACCAATTTGTATTCAAATAGCTTATAGATTTGCTTATATCTAGAACAGCTTATATAATCTATACCACTTATCACTGTGGTTTGTACCAGTTTGTATTCAAATCCCTCAGAGAACAGCTTATATCGTCTCTACCACTTATCGCTGTGGTCTGTACCAGTGTGTATAACAATACCATAGAGAACAGCTTATATCGTCTCTACCACTTATCATTAAGTACCTGCTGTAGTCATGTGGCCGAGCGATAGTTACCTCACGTCTTGTCTTGTGTGTCCAGGGTTCCACCAGCCCGTCACGTGGTCGACCCCCACCCATGTTACCTGAAAGAAACCCTCAGACACAGCTCGGCAACAGGGCATCCAGCAACAGATCTTCCATTTCTAGCAGGGTTTGTATTTTCATGATTACTTTTCTTGGCTGTGTTATTTTAAAAGTTATTTCCCTTCTTTATTTTTAAAGTTATTTCCCTTCTTTATTTTTTTTTTAAAACTATCCCCCTTTAAATCCACATAATAAAATATCAATAACTTGTTCTAAATATTGCATCGTCATATGGCATTTTAAAACGGATCTAACTAACTCAATATATGTAAAACTTAAAAATTCTATTTACAATTATTTTTTCAAGGTATTTATCTTTTGTTTTTAGGCATTGTATTATTTTTTACCTTTAATCTTTGAGAATTTTACGCGCCATAAATGCTATTGTTTATTCAACAATTTATTAAACTCGATTTGTTAGAAAAAAAGTTCCACAATATGAATCATTCTTAGGGTGTGTTCGCGTCTGATATTTCACAGGGTTCAGCGTCTTCCTCTCACTCCCCTCCCGCCAGCCCCGATCTCCACCCCCCGGGCAAGCAGCGGTACCTGGAGAACAAGCCCTTCTCCTACGGGGTGCCCAGCATCAAGCAGACGTGTGAGATGGTCGTCCGGTCCAGGGAATCCTCGCCCCACAACGGCCGACACACCAAGTCGGCCGTCTTGTCTAGCGCTAGCGACTACGCCAGGTTCGCTCACAACGAAGAAAACGGTCAAGGTTATCCAAAGGTCAACGGCAGCCGGGACCGGTCTGCGTCCGTGCCGGATGAGTACCATGAGGTCAAGGCCGAGTACGTGCAGGAAAATATCTACGACTCGAGGTACAGCGAGGGGATCTACGGCAAGTTCGTTCAGCCGGGGAGCCAGAACCGCCCCAAGCTGACCTACGTCCCGCCCCCCGTGGTGCCGACCCCGCCCCACGAGCAGCACAGCCAACAGCATTACCCGCAAGCTGTTGAACAGCTGAGATCAGACGCCGCTGGTGTGTGCACCCAGCACCATCACAACCATCACAACAACAGCAACAACGCCCCGCATTTTCATTCTCCTTCGTCGTCGATCTCATCGAGTTCCCCGATGTCCTCGCCCAAGGTCAACCACTCAAGGTCACGCCCGGACGCCATACCTCCCCCGCCCTCATTCCCCGCCCCCCTCCCCCCTGTACCAGGATACGAAAGATACGCCTCAGCTGAGCCTTCCAGACACTCGCCTTCTCCTCCCCCTCCCCCACCCCCAGCGGAACCAGGCAGCTTTTCTTCCAGATCTTCAAGGTCATCCACCAGGAGGTCAAAGACGTCATCGCCGACGCCTATGGCGTTACACAGCAATTATTACGAGGGCGCCTCGTCGCCATCGCGGCCACTCGTGAATACCTCGCACAACCAGCACCCGCACACACACCCCACACACACTCAGCCCCCTCACATTCAACCCACATACACCCACCCCACACACGTGCACCCCGCCCACAACTACCCCACAAACAACCAACACGTCCATGCTACGCACATCCAAACCTCACACCCCCCACCCCACACACACTCAGCCCCCTCACATCCAACCCTCACACACCCACCCCGCACACGTCCATCCAGCACACCCCACACACGTCTTACCCACGCACACCAAACCTACACACAACACGCCCACACATCAACCTCCCCCACAATCGCCTTACTCCCCCACCTCACGCGACCCACACAAACCCTCAGCAACCTTTGTTCTCCCGCCTATAGTGCCCCCCACCCCCGTGCCCCCACCTCCACCCCCACCCCCTAGCACCTTCACACCCCCAAACCACCTGGACAAAACTCTCGGTGCCGCGCGGACTGGATCCCCGGCGCGATTCACAGCGAGCAAACAGCCGTCAACAGCCACCCTAGACCAGCTGGCTCAGGTCAAGCTTCGGACAGTCAGCGGTAGGTCACGTGATCTGATTTTGATGCATGACATGGCTGAATGACATGGTTGCATGACATTAGTTGTATGACATGGCTGAATGACATGGCTGAATGATATTGGTTGTATGACATGGCTGGATGACATTGACTGGATGGCATGGCTGGATGACATGGCTGGATGACATGGCTGAATGACATTAGTTGTATGACATGGCTGAATGACATTGTCTAGATGACTTGGCTGAATTACAAGGCTGGATGGCATTGGCTGGATGACATGGCTGAATGACATTAGTTGTATGACATGGCTGAATGACATGGCTGAATGATATTGGTTGTATGACATGGCTGGATGACATTGACTGGATGGCATGGCTGAATGACATTGGTTGTATGACATGGCTGAATGACATTGGTTGTATGACATGGCTGAATGATATTGGTTGTATGACATGGCTGGATACATTGACTGGATGGCATGGCTGAATGACATTGGTTGTATGACATGGCTGAATGACATTGGTTGTATGACATTGGCTGGATGACATTGGTTATATGACATTGGCTGGATGACATTGGTTATATGACATTGCTGGATGGCATGGCTGAATGACATTGGTTGTATGACATGGCTGAATGACATTGGTTGTATGACATGGCTGAATGATATTGGTTGTATGACATGGCTGGATGACATTGACTGGATGGCATGGCTGAATGACATTGGTTGTATGACATGGCTGAATGACATTGGTTGTATGACATTGGCTGGATGACATTGGTTATATGACATTGCTGGATGACATGGCTGAATGACATTGACTGTATGCAATGATTGTTAGACACTGGCAGTATGACACTCGTTTCATGACATTGATTGTATGACATGGATGTATGACATTTTGTTTATGACATAGATGTATGACATGCCTGTAGAATAGTGTATGAGAATGAAATAGCGAGGTGGCAAAGTTGCAGGTAAATATGTGTACGAAGAAATTACATTTAAATGCCACATCAGTATGACATCTCTATGATATAGCCTACTTCGGTATGACGTATCTGAATGACATCTGTATGACACTACGCAATGACACATCTAAATGACCATCTGTATGATACATCTGAATGCCATCTGTATGATACATCTGAAAGCCATCTGTATGACATATGTATGACTCACCCGTATGACACTACTGTATGACATTTGTATGACACATCCGTATGACACTGTCATGTCAGTATGCCCGTGTCTCCACAGAGTCCGGCTCCGTCAAATCCCCAACACCGGTCGAAGAGCCGGCACCGGCTGCCATTAACGTCAGACTACGTCCTACACCCGGCAAGTTCGGCAACATTTACACAGAGGGTACGTGTTACCTCCCACTTTTAGAGTTACCTCACAATATTTAGAGTTACTTCCCACTAAGAGTTACCTCCCACTAAGAGTTACCTCCCACTAAGAGTTACCTCCCACTAAGAGTTACCTCCCACTAAGAGTTACCTCACACTAAGAGTTACCTCACACTAAAAGTTACATCCCACCAAGAGTTACCTCACACTAAAAGTTACCTCCCACTAAGAGTTACCTCCCACTAAGAGTTACCTCACACTAAGAGTTACCTCACACTAAAAGTTACCTCACACTAAGAGTTACCTCACACTAAAAGTTACCTCCCACTAAGAGTTACCTCACACTAAGAGTTACCTCACACTAAAAGTTACATCCCACCAAGAGTTACCTCACACTAAAAGTTACCTCCCACTAAGAGTTACCTCACACTAAAAGTTACCTCCCACTAAGAGTTACCTCACACTAAAAGTTACCTCCCGCCAAGAGTTACCTCCCACCAAGAGTTACCTCCCACCAAGAATTACCTCCCACCAAGTTACCTCCCATTAAGGTAAGCGTTACCTATTGAGTCGGTCTGTAAGTAAAAAAAATTCAGGCTCGTGTTTCTTCTTGTCCCTTTATATTCTGGCTATGTGTTTATCTTCTGTTTGAATAGTGTGTTTGTGTTCGTTTGTGTGTGTGTGTGTTCGTTTGTATGTGTGAGTGCGTGTGTTTGTGTGTTGGTACGTGTGTGTGTTCTTTTTTGTGTGTGTGCGTGCGTGTGTGTGTGTGTTTGCGTTTGTGTATGTTGTCTTCGTAGTGTAAAGCGATTCTTTTTTATTTAATCTCTGAGGTTTAAAAAATTTTAAGTGAATTCAGTTTAGTCAGCCCATCTCAGTTTCTTCTCTTAAAAGAAAAAAAATCCCCAAATATGTTTTAAAAAACTACCCCCCCCCCCCCACACACACACTCACTAATCTCCCAGCGCACCCTCCACCGTGACAGCGATTTCCGGTCCATTATGTCTTCTGCCTGTGAACAGATTTCAAACTTTTGCTTTGAGAAATGTCGAGAAAGTTCTTGATTGTTAGGAAAATCTCGTATTGTGGACGTCGTCACATGAAGTTGGCGTTCGTAAACTGAAACCGGTTTCAAATATATTCTAATTTTTTTTATATAATTTCTTTTTTAACAATTACAAATATATTTTTCTTATCTTAATTTCATAACTGTAGTATTAATTTTAAGAAAACAACAATAAACAAAAAATAGATCTTTCTATGAATTCAGATTTTTTTTTCTTTTTTTATGTATTAAAATTTAAAATAGCATATTTTTTTTTACAGAACCAGAGGAGACAACTCTACCCCCTCCTCCACTGCTCGACGATTTAGATGAGTTACCTCCCCCGCCGCCTCCACCTGAACTCTTATGTCATGACCTCACCAGCCTCCATCTCGCGACCATCCCGACCCCCATCCCCTCCCAGCCCCCACCCCCACCTGGGCTGGCAGGTGAGGGGAATTCCACTCCGATGCATCACCCACCCCACGTTGAGCACCAGCAAACGAGCGGTGCCAGTGGCAGGAACGGAGCCGTTATTGGTGCTGGATCAGACTTCTACACTCCGGGGTTGGGTGAGTTGAATTATCACACTTCACATTCAGCTAGGCCAAACACACAGAATTTATCACACTTCAAATTAATCAGGCGAAAACACATTTAAAATCATAAACAACACTTAATATTTGTCATCAATGTAATCTACCTGATATACATCCTTAACCCAACTACACTAGCTGCATATAACTCGCTTGTTTCTAACAACATTTTTGTCGATTGTAAGGCTTTACTCGTTAAAATTAGCATACCAATCGGTTTATGAATATATATATATATATATAAATATATATAAATATATAAATATATATATAGGCCTATTTTAATATATGTATGTATGTCTTATGTATATATGTATATATGTATATATATATATATATATATATATATATATATATATATATATATATATATATTTATATATATATATATATATATATATATATATATATTTATATATATATATATATATATATATATATATATATATATATATATATATATATATATATATATATATATATATATATATATTGTGTGTGAGCGTATCTTGACTTGATTTTGCAAATGTCTAATACTTTGAGTAGTCACTACGGTATTGATTAAATTGATTTAATTAAAGGTGTATGCTTGCAAATAATTTACTCAATTAATGACGGGTTAATTGACCCCACACCCCAATACGACACCCCGTTTGCAACAAGTCAGTCCAGACTCTCCAGTGCGATTTTCCTAACGGTTTAAGTTAACATTCTGTTAACATTCTGTATTCCACGCTAGGATTAAAAGTTAAACTGACATAATTTATTTATTTTTTAATGTGTGATTACAAAGCCTAATTAATGAGAGGCGAATATTATCATTTTTTAAACTGAGATTTTTTAACAGGGCAGAGAAAGGCATCATCGCGTCATCACGTTCAATAGGCGCGCAATTGTTTTTAGTCATGTAACTCTATTATAAATAAAACATGTTAAGTACTGAAAAAAAATTCATAAAAAAACGTTTTAATAACAAGCTTTTAAAAAAAGTAGAAAATAAATTATACACTACTATTTAAATAACTATAAAGAAAAGCGTGGGTCTCTTCCTAAATATTAGTAAAGGTATCCAATAGATACTAAAGTGACCAACGCTTTTCTTTATAGTTATTTAAATAGTACTGTATAATTTATTTTCTACTTTTTATGGCAATAGTACATAAAAGCTTGTTATTAAAACGTTTTTTTTATGTATTTTTTTTAAACTGAGATTTTTTCATGCGTTGTCTGGAACTCGACTCTCAGGCCACGGTGTGTTGGTACCCGGCGCAGGTAGAGTTCTACCTGTGTAGGTAGGTCTACACTCCCTGATCACCTGGCAGGGGGGAGGGGGGAGGGGGGTGCCACCATCACAAATCGGCTGTTGATAATTAACAGGCGAATTTTTTTTCTTCCATCTTGATTTTTTTAGAACGTTTAATTAAAAATAAGTGAAGTTTTTATTTTTCTATTTATAGAACATAAGTAATTAACTAGCTTTAAGGGTGTGTACTGTGTAATCAGGTTTGGGTTAATGAAAATGTGGTAGCAGCCGGGTTATGGGATTCGTGGGGTTATGTAGTGAATGTGGGATAGGGTTAGGGTTACGAGGTTAGGTGTAACAGCTGTGTAGTGTGTTGTTAACGTGAAGTGTGTATTCAGCTCACGTGAGGTGTGTAGTCAGCTAATGTGAAGTGTTTAGTCAATATAAAACTATAACTGTGTTACAGTTTCTAAAGTGTCTAATTGAAAACTTTTTTCGATGATATATTCTAGTACTGTGGGTGAGGTCACAATAATTCTAACACTTAGGGAACGACGTAATTTTATTTTAACCCTCCCTCACTCCACCCACCCGCGTCTTTGGTGAAGTAAATTGTGTTGATAAACTGTCTACAGCCGCAACTCGCTTTAAGGCAGTTCCTGGTCACTAGGCAACACGCTTTCCCACACACTCAAACACGTACACATATATACACACTTTGTCACATTCCCACAAACACACTTTTCTTTCTTAAAAAATCACACTCTCCCAAAATCACACACACTTCCACCACACAAGAGTAAGGGGGTGATCCATTAATAGAACGTGTGATCACTCACACACACAAACTCACACACACACAAACTCACTCACACAAACTCACTCACACACAAACTCACTCACACACACAAACTCACTCACACACACAAACTCACTCACACACAAACTCACACACACACACTAACTCACACACACACAAACTCACACACACAAACTCACTCACACACAAACTCACACACACAAACTCACTCACACACAAACTCACTCACACACAAACTCACTCACACACAAACTCACTCACACACACTAACTCACTCACACACACACAAACTCACTCACACACACAAACTCACTCACACACACACACAAACTCACTCACTCACACACACAAACTCACACACACAAACTCACTCACACACAAACTCACTCTCACACAAACACACCTTCTCACACTTACATTCACTCACAAATTCACTCACACACACAAACTCACACACACTCACACAAGACCGAGATGGTTGTCCAACAATACAACTTGTTCATCACTATCAAACGATCGACCGTCGAGGTAGATCGACCGTCGAGGTAGATCGACCGTCGAGGTAGATCGACCGTCGAGGTAGATCGACCGTCGAGGTAGATCGACCGTCGAGGTAGATCGACCGTCGAGGTAGATCGACCGTCGAGGTAGATCGACCGTCGAGGTAAATCGACTCAGGTTCTCAAAATCCTCGCCATTCCTCTCGAGAACATCTTTCTCCGCTCATCATGTGCCCGGTCCATTTAAAAAAAAACTCTACTCCACCTAATCTAAGTCCCGCCGAATCTCTCGAAGATTTCTTCTAAAATCTATGTTTTATGTGTTGAGGGCAGATCCTGCAGTTCGCGGCATGACGCTTGGACCAGCTCTTAAAGCTGTCTTAGTTAATTATCTTAACGTACGTGACTCGGGCCTATAAAAACTTGTATGGAAATTGTTCGCGTAATTATTTTTGATGCTCCAGACCCTAGTGAGTTGTTTCCCTTGCCCGTGTTTCAGCAGCCATTTTGTTGTTGCTAAATATAAACGTTCTATTTATAGCGAGTGTCTAAAGGAATGAACCAATCATCGCATTCTCTAAACGTGCTTGTAAACAGATTTTTAGAATAGTTTTGTGTGGTTGTTGCAGGGGAACTGTGTGATGTTGTGGTTGTGTGACCATGTGGTTGTGTGGTTGTGTAACCATGTGGTTGGTCGTGTGACCATGTGGTTGTGTGACCATGTGGTTGTGTGGTTGATTATCAAAGCGGTCTCTCATTTTGCCTATTCTCCACCCAACGAATACAAAACTATCATCAACCAAATTATTTTGCCTTTCTCCTGAGTTATCTAATCTTGAAACCCTTTCTTTTCTCCCCATCCCACCCGCCCCCGCCCCTTCTAAAAACGACACATTTTAAAACTGTAGCAAAAATAACCTTTTTCTTATTTATAAGTCGCTAACTGCTCAGTGTCGACGAGGTCTTTAAGTGCGTCTCAAGATCTGTATTAAAAAATCCTTTGACGCTGCAAGTTTATTTCTCAATCAGACAAATGCCTTTTTTCTAAAGGCCATTTGTTAGTGGTGCGTGAGGGCGTTTATGATAAACGTTTTTCTCTGGTTTTAAATACAATTAGAATTATTTTCATCACAATTTGTAGTTAGGTCTGTTTGAACTAGGTACATACACACTCACACACACACATATATATCACATACTGAAACACGCAATACACCACACACACACACACAGTCACACAGACTACAACACACTGAAGCACTCAAGACATCACACACACTCACACAATAAACTAGCACATATTTACTTAACACACGCACACATATAAAACATCACCTAATCATTACAACACACACGCACCACATTACACTGACACACTCACTAAATCGCACACTACATCACAAACACATTTACAAAACACACAATACACATACTCAGTACAACACTCGCTACATCACACTCACACATTCATACACGCACAAAATCACGAACACACACACTACATCACACACACACATTACAACACACACTCCCCACCACACACACACCTAATGTCAACAAATAAAACACGCGTGAACCAAACGAACGCTCCTCTTCAAGTTTCACTTTAGCACATTTTAATGGAGACGCATTTCAACACCTGCGGGATGTATAAATAGATGACGACAGGTACATTGGATACACGCACATGCTGGGGCGATGGGATGTCCATTTACACCTTCAATCGATTTGATTCTGTGGCTATTTATAAACCACCTTACACCCATCGCCCCAACCCCATCATCCTAACCCCATCACCCCACCCCCATCACCCCACCTACATTACCCCACACCCACACCCAACACCCCACCCCCATCAGCTAGTCCACATCCCATTCAGCTAATCCACAGCCCCATCAGCTAATCCACACTCCATCAGATAATCCACACCCCCATCAGCTAATCCACAACCCCATCAGCTAATCCACACCCCCATCAGCTAATCCACACCCCATCAGCTAGTCCACATCCCATTCAGCTAATCCACACCATCATCAGCTAATCCACACCCCCATCAGCTAATCCACACCCCATCAGCTAATCCACACCCCCATCAGCTAATCCACACCCCATCAGCTAGTCCACACCCCATCAGCTAATTCACACCATCATTAGCTAATCCACACCATCATTAGCTAATCCACACCATTATCAGCTAATCCACACCATCATCAGCTAATCCACACCCCCATCAGCTAATCCATACCATCATCAGCTAGTCCACACCCCCATCATCTAATCCACACCCCCATCAGCTAATCCATACCCCCATCAGCTAATCCACACCCCCATCAGTTAATCCACACCCCCATCAGCTAATCCACACCCCCATCAGCTAATCCACACCCCCATCAGTTAATCCACACCCCCATCA